ACTGCTTTCTATCAAGGCTCGTAAATTGGATGATTAATCGAGCCGGGGGGAAAGGAGGTAGGAGGCGAGTGAGCGAGATTCGATCGCATCGGGCCCGATGAGCGAGTTTAAACAGCAGTTGCGCGGTTAATGTTCCAAAAGCGCTTCTGCGCGAATGAAGACCGAAGGATGGCAGACTTTGGGCACCGGATATCGACCGCGAAGCGCGCAAAGCGAAAAAAACGAAAATAAAGAGAGGGAAGACGAAGTCAAGGCTCTCGTACCATCCGGCTTTCGACACACGAGATTTTCGATCCACATGTTTGTCCGCAGATGATGTCTGCACACCGGGTGCGCATAAAGTCGTCTCTGGGAGACGATTTGAAAAACCGTGTATCGCATTCGTAAATGTTTAAAACAGTCACATAAATCAAGAAGCATAAATAAGTCATAATATTTTTAAAGTGATATTAACAATGCGATATTAATCTTTAACTTCTACGCGATTTTCTTTCCTTTGTTATGTATTGCTAAAAGGATTGTATTTCTTCAGAAGATTCTGTAAAGAGATCGGCATGCCTTTACCTCTCTTATCTCTTTTCATGACGACCGCAATGTACTATTGAACATTATTTTTTACTTTTAATAATGTTATTAAAATGCTGTGTTTTTTAATGCTATTTAGCTTTATTTTACAGTAAGATGGGCGACTTTAATTTTTATTCTTTGTGTAACATCGTTTTTTATCTTTAATTATATCGTACATTATAGCTATGCAAACGAGCCTGCGGAACATGGCGCTAATTCCGCGTACTGTCGGTGCTAATTGCGTCCACGTGAGCAATGAATTTTGTGCAAAGATTGAACGCGATTAGATGATGTTCCTCGATCCACAATTAAACACACGAAACTCACCACGTTGTAACATTTCGTAACATCGGTCAAACATGCGTATCCGGTTTCGTGGTCACGCTGCCTTTTTTCTCCCATGTTCCTCTTCTTAAATTATTCCTAATACCGGCTTGTCCCTTCCAATCAGATATCGGTTTCGCTTTCCTCTCCTCCGTTTCTTTTAATTAGCTAATTTGCAATCTCGGACATAGCATGCCGTTCTCATGACGATGACAAACAGATCTCTTCATCTATTCGATTCTTAATTTTCAATTACGTAAAAAGCACACGCTTGTGTGTTATTAATATTATTCTGACCGAATGCCGTATTTATTGATGATGAATCCTGGTGTGCAAATAATTTAGATAAAGTTGGAGATCCAGAGTTTCAGTTTTGCTAATGACGAAAGAAAAACTATTTTTTGTCGTGATCATGCGACGTTTAAAAGTCTTGTTTATATGCTCATACATCGCAATACATAGTCATTCACAGTCGCCGAGTAACGAGATTGAAGCAATTCAGCTGGTCGGTATGAGAATATACATGTGAAATTGTACGTTAACTCGTCACACGCTTGTTAACGCCAAATACGAGTCAGCGTCCTTCTTTATTTCGCACTTTATGAGTGACAATTCTCCAGTTCGTGCGTACAATTTGCGATTAAATGTTGCCGCTTCGCTTGTCCTCCGCTCGTTTAACCGACGATTAGTCGCGATGATGGCACTATTTGTCAAGAATTTTCTACTTACATGCAAATGCGCTACTCACACATGGACTTGATTGGAATGGTATATGCAAATAACACAGATGACTCTTCCTGGGTTGTAAAAAAGCAATGCATGACAGGAATAATATATCAAGTGTTTCAGATTATCACATTCTTCTTTAATTACAAATGTATGAATGCACAAAGTTATTTTTAAAGTTGAACAAAACTTTTTGGAAAGATTATCATATTTGCACTTAAAAAATTTTTTAAGCAATAATATGAAAGTAAAAATTTATTGTGAGACAAACAATAATTAGAAGAATTTATTTTTTTTAAACTTTAATTTATAGCTTTAATAGCTTCAATAGATTTGATAAAATCTATTAAATATCTATGAAAAAAATAAAAATGCCTTACAATTAATACGTAGAGTAAAAGAAATGAAAAAAAATGGATTGCGGAATCTTCGGAATGCAACAGAAATTACAAATGTACAAAAGATTCGGGGATTTTGCGTAATAAAAGGCCACAATATCAGAGACGGCTAAGTCTCTCTTCGTTTCACGATACGCACCTGTCCCGACACGAAGCCAATCACGGCGCCCTTAACGAACGCGGTCAGAGAAAGCCCTTTTGTGTGTCTGGTTCGTCCTTTTCCGACCGGTCGATCGCTCTTTTTTTAATTGCACTACCGTGCCGTGCCGCTAAATTACGCGCGGATTCGTACGGATCGAAACATAAGCGGCCGTTGCCGCGCCTTCTAATTAGTACGGCTGCGCCGTTTATTGCCCTCTCGGCGTGTCGTAATTGATATTTGGCCGAAATACACCTTATCGTCACGGTTGCTTCCGTTGAACCGTGGCGTGGCGTGAATCTTCCCGAGCGGATCATTAAATCTTTTTACTATATACTGATTATAATATCACAATAAATGTTTCAATGTCGTATCACAATTACCTTAATTAAATCTAGTCATACTTGCTTAGGTCTGATATTTTTCGGGACAATACTGACGTAAAGGCCCGTAAAAGTCCGAAATGGAAACTCGACAAACGATTATGATACGTCAATTTTGCTACCGTCGTACGGATATCGCTCGAATTGTCAGTTTTACGAGCCAGTTATGAAGCTTGAAGAGTTTAAGTGGCCGTAAGTTCGTTTATAATTGAAACGACCGTTTTTTGCGCGATACGCTGGATCAGCGGAAAAAAGCCGGTCGATTTGCGGGTAAGGTCGATGGTACTTTTTATGGATACTGTGGTAAATCCATACGATCTACTAATTATTTCTGAAGATGTTTTATAACCTGCTAATTAATTATTACGCTATAATCATCGTTTAAAAGTGTTTTTCTTACTATCAATTTTTATGATTTTTGAATAGCGTGCACATATTAACATAAATTAAATAAACGTATAGTAAATTATATATGTTAATTAAAATATAGAGTAAAAGAATTGAAATATATATAGATATATCATATTAGTTTAATAAAACTAAAATTAAATCATATTTGTTAAGAAAGACATCTAGTAAACATCAAAAAGTAGCATTGATAATTGAAAGATATATTTTTCAATTTTTAATTTAGTTATGCTTTATGTATTACTTTATTTTCTTAAAAAAAAAAGGAAAGATTATATTACTATAAATTTAATTTCTACTAGAAAATCTTGAAAATTAAAAAAAATAAGTAACAATAAATAATAGAATATATGTCTATATGTGAAGACATTTTTATTACTCACGTTACTATTATCTTTTTTAGCATAACGCGAACTAATAAATCTCATGATAACTTTAATGAAACGAGCTACGCAAATCCTAATGATCCTTTCATGGCGGGAATACAAGTCTCAGTGCTGCCCGTCGACAGTTTAGTTGAGCCTCGATAAATGTATAGGCGATATGAATCTCATATACGGACATTTGACCTGATTACACGCGTGTGCGTCGCGGGCGTTCAAGTGTTGGAGTTTCACCGTGTTCTGCGTGGTAGAGCAGTCACCTGCCGCACAGGTGCCCCCTTCTCCTGCAGCGCTATCTCGTAATTCAACCTGGTACATCCCGCCACGAAGGTGGCGAACTCTCGGATGGACCTTTGGGGTGATCCTAACCAGCAGTCACTTCCAGGTGTAGAGAGCCTTCAATACAAACGGTCCCGTTTTGTTTCGGTCCCGTCTAAGCATTAAAAAGCGAAATAATTCACCTCGTCGATATTCGAATTTCAATGAGGACACCGCGATCGGCCGTTCGGCAAATGGTTCTGTTCGTTAGTTGTGACATACATAGTTTATATCTCCCGCATCCATAAATCACTTCGTTCTTAGAAGAATTAAGAAATGAATGAATACTCGAAAATGATTTTTTTTTTTCAATAGAGTTTTTTGTGTATGTGCGTGAGTGTATGTGAAAAAACAGTGATTTAGTATATAATGCAATTTTATGCTGCAATACAACAAAGAGAATATTCTCTATTATTTACTACTAGAGCTGGGAACGTTACCTTAAAAAAATAACTCGTTACTAATTTTAAAAAGTAATATGTTACCGTTATCTTTTCAAGAGAATACAATTCTTTATTGTTTACTACCGGAGTTGGGAACATTAGAAAAGTAACGCGTTATCCAAGAAACGGGAATGGTAACGCGTTACTTTTAACGTTTCTAACCTTGGTACTAAATAATAGAGAATGTATTCTCTATTATATATTAAATCACTGTTTTCACATACATTCACGCACATGCACAAAGAGCTCTGTTCGTTACTTTTACTTTTTCGTTACTTTTTTTTGTTTATACTATTACCTAAATGTAGGTAACTAATCGCAGAATTTAGGATCTTCTTTTTACTCCAGAGCCGCACTATGCAAATTTTCGGCGCTTTATTCGGCCTATTAACTTGGCGGTGTTATACGATATCTTCAACGATACTTGTCTTACTCTCGGTGTTATCATCTGGCACATCGGGGCCCCACAATGTGCTCCTGCGCACGTGTGTAAGCAGGAAGAGAAAAAGAAGCCGAGCGAACAGCCGTTCGCCAGAGAACGCTATAGGATTAAACTGACCAATTTATTCTTTTCCTTCTATTTTTTTTCTCAAGTGGGATTACTGGTTTCGGGGTTTGTGTAATCCTCTTTTATCACCGTCGCTTCTAATTCTTGTCCAATGTCCGAACAATAAAAAAAAATGTTACCAAAAAATAGAGCCCCATCATAAGGATCCGTTACTCGATCATGTTATAAATCGTATCAGATATGATGCACGTTTCCGTTGAATTTTATGACAATTAAAAATCTATTAAAGAGAATATGATTAAGTTGAATAATATATCGGAAATTGACGTCATGGCCGATTAAACAAGCAAATAACAAAAACTTATTTCTCTAATTGTCTTAGCATAATTTAAATGCTATTTTATTTATTTCTAATAAATAAATACACAGTTTTATTATAATTACATATAAACATATTTTATTTATATTGTGGCGATTGTATCGTCGCTACTTCAGCTGCAATAAAAAAGCAGGAAATTAAAAAAAAAATGTATTTTCGAAGTGCGACTTATGTGCGAATTATTTGATGTATTCCTGATTTTATGGTTGTGCAAACTTTGATTTTGAACCAACACAGCCATTGTTTTTTTTGCAAAAAAAAAACTGGAGCAAAAAAATCGAGATTTGCGTCGTTTGCGCGATTGATTAATTATTAAAAAGGAGGTAATTTCTGCAAGTCCCATTTGATTGTGCTGAAGTGGCTGCGAGATCTTTAATTTCAAATCTAGCTATTATTTAATCTGTTTAAAGATATATATATATATATATATATATATAAGATACATTATTTATTTGCAAACAATCGTAAATTATAATTATATTTCACCAATGTAGCACGTCTCAGACAGTTTTTTTTTTATTAATATGCGTCAATTCGCAGAACACACGAAACGGTCGTATAATCATCATTATTATTCGCGTTACTGAGTTACTACATGAACGCACGACAAAGGTTGCTTACGCAATTATTAACTCGGCAATTACTTTTGATTACTTGCGACTTGCGATGTCCAATGTATCGCGAACGTATATGATACGTTTCTCCTGACGAGACGTTCTGGGGAAAATTATACACGTCAGTGATGATTAACGTAATACTGTGCTTTACCGCCCATGATATAATTATATTCTGTACCGTGAAATTGTATCTTGTTAACAATTACGAACATTTACTTTATACCAGAGAAATCGTAACCAGTAAAAAGATTATCCACGGAGCGTCAGGAACGGCCGAAACATTACGATCGCTCAAAGAGAAGGTACGCCGCGAGCGACAATTGGACTCCCGAATATTAATTATTATAAACAGTACCGGTTCAGAGATTAATGTCAAATTAAGAACGAGGTCGATTAGCTGGCGGGGTGACGATATGTCGGGATTAAAATCGCGATGAAGCATTATATTCCACCTGTCAAAAAAATCATTTATAATTATATCTGGTATATCGCTCTTCTTTTTGAATAAACGCACATACAATTGAATTTTACTCAATTTAAAGAAAGTTTGCGGATGAAAGTTTGTGAAAAAAAATTATCTCATTATTCGGCAATGGAATGGTATATTTCGAGACATGAACGCTTTATGCACAAGATATTTCTTTCAAGTTGTAGTAATTGTTGGAAATGGCTATAATTAATATTCGTCAAAAATATTTTAAAATAATAAAATTATAGCAAAAGAAGCAACACAATTTGAACGAACAAATCATGAGGGTTGAAAGATAAATGCGGAAGGAAGAGCGTTTCGTACGCGGACGTTGATTTCGCGAAAAAGTATTTACGTAATCGATAATTGAATGGAGAGGTCTGCACGTTGACCTTCAACGTTTGCAGCACCTTGTTCTCGCGTCTCGTGAAAGCAGAGGCTCGCACGCTCGGTACCATTAAATTGCTGTACAGTGTTACGTTTCATGCGAACACGCGTCACCTTGTAGCTGCAAGTAGTAGCATTTATAAATGTTCGACCTGGTTGTACGTTTAATTTATACGATACATATAAAGAAAGCTGAAACAGGACTTCTCATTGTCGAATTAGGACGCTTTCCTGCAAATTTGCATTTGTATTAATAATTTTACGTCCGAACATCGAGAGATTTTGCTGCTTGAGAAGTTGCTTCGATTAATTCTAAACTACATGATATATTTTGTCGTTAATGAGAGTTAATGAGAAATATACACTAAAAGTTAAAATTTAATTGATAAATTGAAGATCTTTATGCGCTAAAGTGGACATGAGAGATAATATATTTGCGCACTAAAGTTCTCATTAATGTTATTAGTCCACGTGAAATTGTATTAAATTGTTAATGAAATACAATTAAGGTTGGAAATTCTCATATCTGATGATCCACAAGAGATTCTACATGACCACCTTTTATAGTAAAAGATGCGTCGACAACTCGTTAATTACGTACAAATTCAATATCATGTAATATACACGAATGCAATTTTGCAGAGGTAAAACAATAAATTACAGACATGAAGAGACATTCTGCAAAAAAAGATTAAAAAATATGACAGATTTTCTCTATAATTACGTTTATGTCTTAATTAAGTTCTTTTCTTTTCGCCAAATAAACCAGAGATTATCGATCTGTAATCAACATAAAATAATATGACGTATTTTAAAATAATTTAAATATAATCCAGATTGTTAAAACATTAATATGATTTGCAACTTACAATGCAGATAAATTGCAGTTACATAATATAGCGTGTTGCTATAATATCTCGAATTCAGTATTTTACTCTTTTTTTACGATGAAAATTTGAACATATTGTTTACGCTAATATGTAATAAATGTCATTTAATATTCTTGTCAAAACACATTTGGCCGTATAATACATAACTCGAGGCTATTTCTCAGTCTTACAATCGTCGTAGTAAACGTACTGATTTTTACGATCTCGCTTAATCTTCGCGCTAATGCTTATAAGCGGATGACACTATAAGAAAAATTCGCCAGTGTCTCTACATTTAACTACCAATGTTAAATGAAATACTGGCGACACACATTGGCTTCTTGAGTTCGTGGTTAAGGCGATCAAGTGACAATTAAGCTTCCAGAAGGAGGAATCGAGTGAGTTGGCAGCTGTTTTTCTTACATGCTCGTAACACGATCGCAATTTGGCCTCACGTCTGAATGCCCCGTTACATGCTTAGTGATTTTATGCTCCTCTTAAGATGAGTGCACGCCCTTTATCATCTTATACCACTTCCGCGGGCAGATACGTTGCAAGATGTCAGAAAATTGGCTTCACTCCCTAAAATTTCGACGATGCTACGTAACATGATTCCCGTACCTATACAATTCAGGCGTGCCATTAATTTCGCGCGCAAATCCTTTTCGGTCTTTTTCATTTTTATTGCTTTTTTAACAGAATATAATAACGTATTACTTTTCTCTTAATCTCCAGAACGGAATAAGTATTTTGCCACTTTATGGTTTCGTGTTTTTTAATTTTTTTTTGGTAAAAAATTTTAGTGAAGGAAATAAGAATGTTTCTAAAAATAAATGACACAATGATCTGCAAACTCTTATAAAAATAAATAAAGGATAACGCGGACGGAAATTTGATTATACTCCCTGCTAAATCTGAACTTTTAATCGTCCAATTTATTTCCTAATAATTCTTCACAAATATGCAATTAACTTATGCTTTGAAAGTGTGTGTTTTATCTTCTAATCTAACAATGTTAAATAATATTTTTGCAACGGATAATTATCATCAACAAACTCGTCGGATGAATACGCGAGTTAATAATCAGTCGTAGAAGCGCACACGTCTCTCACTCGTGTCTCGGGAATTTGAAAAAGTTTCGGTCGACGATGGTGGCCGTACGGCAATTTAATTACTTCTTTTAACGACACCAAAATGCCGTGAGAGAGCGTACTATGCGGCCAGCTTAAATCAAGGGAGCTTATCAGCGTCCGCGCACATCGTTTACCGCCGGCATTTATTGTTAGTTTAAATTAAGCGCGGCTTTGTGTGTGTGTGTGTGTGTGTGTGCGCGCGCGCACGCGCACACACGCACTTGCACCCCTGGGATAAATCGGCAAAATCATACGCCTCAGCGCATTCAATTACGCGTCGGGACCTTTCACGATCGCAACCATGCTTTTAACCGCGGGCCCAACCTAAATTCTGTTCCCGCTGTTTTGTTACCTTAAGCGCCTTCCCGCTTTCCGTACGATCTCGACCGTAAAAGATAACGCGCTGTATCGCGCGGTGATCAAGAAGATCATATGGAGAGATCGGGAGCAGCTTCATCTCCTCGCGAAATGATCGCGCATATCGTTACTTTACCAGATTTGCTTCGGTTTTACGATGATCTGATTCGGTTGCCATTATTTCTCATTGGTTATTAAATGCTTTAGAATATTTTGTATATGTCACGTAATATTAGAGGTAACTAAAAATTTATTTTTTTGCTGTTATTAATGATAATGGATTTGTCGAAAATATTATATTTGGCAGCAATAATCAAGATCAACATGTTATATGCATTTTAAATTAATTAAAAAAAATTTTAAACATTCAAATATTTAATAATTTTTATGGAAAAATTTTTGAAAGTTTTCTAAGTGATATATTTAAGATTTTTAAAAAAATTTTTCAGAATTCTCGGTTTTAAGTATAATATCTGTAATATATAAGTACTTCGAATCTTTATACTTTTAAATTGTTGGAAAATTTTCAAAAGAGATTTAAATACCCATTGCTACATACATGGTAGTTTTAATACTCGAGAGGCGTTTAAATTGTGAAAATGTTACCCACGATCACGATGTTTTATTTTCGAGGACGCAAGCCCGCGACGTGGTTTAACGGGCATGTGGCCCATTGTCGTATCTTGTGGCCGACTCGGGTACGGTCCTCCACCGAGATTTAAAGGGGCGTGTTTGCCCTGCGCGCAACCATCAGGAAGGACCCCGAAGAACAGCTGATCCGATCCGGGTAATGGGAGGGAGGAGGGGTTAATGGCCCTTGTTCCCGCATTCCTCCATTAATAAAAGCGCCGTCCCTTATTACCGTTCTTGACCGCCAAATGGCTTCCCGTGGAGATTTATTACCGCGACGCGTATTTAGAGTCGTTGTAATTCTTTTTCGTTGCTCCTCGGGCGCGCGATGATCGATCGAAATAAAAATGTTCGTGCTGGCTGGTTTGAAGGGCGACAACCACTTCTCGCCGCTCATTGAAGAAGAACGTCTCCGTGTCAGGGGTCGAAAAGTTTTGCGACTTCATTCATTGGCCAAAAGCGAGGGAAGGGTCTTCTACAAGCTCATTCATATCCTATGTAGTACCTTAAGGTACCATAAACAGAAGCATGAGCCGTTTCCTTTTACCCTCTTCATTCAACCCCGAGGCAACGGGTTACTTCTCGCCCTTTCAATTATCCCTCTTCGGAGAAAACCGGTCTGTAATTTCACTCGCCGCCGTCATCGTGAACTATCCCTTTTATTAGCTTCTTAATTGCGTTAGTGGAAAACAAGCTCATTTAATAAAAAAACAGTAGATTAACTCTTTAAACTATTTTGATGACATTATTTTCTGCGCGTATTATAACAAGTTCATTCTTGACAACTTATATGCGATGGTACTTGTCATCAATTAATAAATTCAAAATAATTTTTTTATATGAATATATATAACTAGAACGCAAAATAAAAAGCATTTGTCATTAGCTATCTTATTTTTATTGATCAAATGTTTATAAGAAAGAATATCTTTTAATTAATGTTTAGAACAAAGATGCATGACACATTTGAAAATATCGGGAAGAGAAATTATGAGATCAATTGAATACCAGCATTTTCTTGAATAGATAATGAATTGTTTAAAGAAGATAAAAGATATAAAGATGATAAATGATAAAGATGTTAAGTAAAGATAAAGATGTGTGAAAGCGAATAAATAATAAATGCAATGAAGGGATGAAATTTGATACTCATATACGTGATATAATAATAGTACCAGCGGTTGCTAGGTGTGATTCCGATTTCAAATGCAATTAATAACCCGCATATAGAGCAAATGACAGAAAATTGAAAGCTGCACGACGCAAGCAGATTGTAAATCACGTTTTAACTTTATCGGCAAGCGGGCAAGAGAGATAGTGGCGGCAAGGGGAAACGGACGACGATATACGTCGCATAAGGCTTTAATTAAGAGCCGGTCTAACGAGAGAATAAATTACTTTACTCTTGGAACGGCGTGGTTTATGGCTAAGTGAAATTTACAACGGTGGTTAGCTCGACCATTGATAAACATGTGATTTGATCGATGCGTTTTTAATATTAAAGCTTTACAAGAGATGTAGTTATACTGAATTATGACGTCAAGGTTCCTCGCTTTTTTTGCAACATTGCTTTCATTAAAAAATTCTCGACGATCAGTTTTAAATTATATATCGCTTAAAATCAGAAAAATATAATTAGTTTTCAGTCAAACTGCTACTCAGTGCAATGTCGTAAAAAATTCACAATTGGGAAATGCGACATGAAAAAAATAAAAAACAAACATTTCAACAATCGCAATTCGTGCACTAAAAACATTGTTGCCTTTGGAATACTTCGTGACTTTGGTAATTTAAGTACATGTTTCAAAAGTCGAATCCGTCCTCCTCGAATTCGTCTCAATAGCGGAAGTCTTCCATGTCAACTGTACCATCTTGACGAGGACATGAAATTGTGATGTCTTTCAGAGTCAAGAACTACTTTGCGTACGATAACGCTACTTTGTGTAGACGCGTGTTTTCTCACTCATTCGTGGCCCCGTACGTGCAGTACGGTAGATCACAATCTGTTGGCAACCCTAACGGAAAAGAAAAACCCCTTATTAGAGGTAAATTCAAGTTGAAGAGCGTTCTTATTAACGAACCCTCTATGGGCATGGATGGAGAGTCCGCTCATGCTTGGAAAAGAAGCTCAATGGTCAGGTGCAACCACGAAGCGCGTGCGTGCAGCTGGCAGCGTTACGCTTCTTTTTCTCTCTCTCTCCTTGTGCTTTCCTCATATTCGTCAAGATAAACTTGCTTATCGAGCTTTTTCTTATATTTCTTCCGGAAAGAAAATTCGGAGATTCCAATGTCTTGCAGTAAACGTAACTTGTAAACAATGTTAATTAATATATACTACGACAGATAGATTTATAAATAGTTGATTAATAAATCATGGTTTATGCTCAGTGAATAATATTTCGAAAACACAAATCGCGCAAGACTCGAGTAAATTACAGAATTAAACCAATTTTTCTTGAAAATATACATTTCTCAAATTATAAATTCCTTAGTGCGTTTGTTTCTATTTAAAATTTAACTTTTCTGCTTTTAAGTAATAATTTCAAGCGAATTTGATAATGTATTTTAATAAACGTATTATGTGATTGCGTACGAACCCAATACCGATGTCAGCATTCAAATATCGATGGTAACGTACGAGTCCCGAGATCTCAACAACTGTGTTTCTCCTACTACCGCCCTTCATATGGCGAGTAACGTTTTCCGAGGGGCCGCGAATCCGAGACCTAATTTCGCTTCTGGCGAGCACGACGGAGCGGTACCGGCGATCGGCCAAAGGGACGCGGCTTTAATCGCCCAGTGAAATCACTTAAGTAGACGTCCGTGAAACGCGGTTCCGCATTTTCGGCCCGTTCGGTCGGCATAATGGCGCGGAATGGCAAATGATACCCGGTGTGGTCCCCGGGAATACGTTCCCTCTCCGACGATGGGGCCCGTCGGTCCCGTCGCGCCACCGGCGAGCGCTGGGAACACCGTCATAACACTCCGATGTGGCCGGCGCGGCACGCCGCGCCGACCAATTTCCATATAATTTCAACCTGTGTGTTTGCGCACTTGGGACCGGAGACCCTACGCGTGTGCGTAATACATGTACGCAATCGCGAAAGCCGGCCAGATATAATAATTTTGCTGTTTACGTGCGTCAGACGCCACCCGGACGCTATACGAGATGTGGGCAAATGAAACGACGAAACTGATAAGAAATCTGAAGATATATCATCGAAGATCCCTGCACGTTAATCTCGATTAAATAAATTCTTTT